GTGGGATGCCCCCCCCGCCGATAGTGCCTCCGAAGCACTATCGGCGGCGGCGTGGGACCTCGGAGAGCCCTCCGACAGCGGCGCCGAAGCCCTCAGAGTCCTCCGGCAGCGTTGATGGCTGCGGCGAAGGAGTCTGAGAGGCCTCTGGCAGCCGCGCCGAAGCCCTGCAACAGCAGCAATGGCGGCGGGGGACCCCTTGAAGACGTGAAAAAGGTAAGTTGGTTTTTTTTAAAAAAAATTTAATGTAATTTTTTGTGTGGGGGGGATGTTCTTTGGGTAACGGATTAATTGGTTTTCAATGCATTCCTATGGGGAATGCATTTTCGACGTACGAACTTTTCGACGTACGAACTGCCTTCCAATACGGATTAAGTTCGTAGGTCGAGACCCCACTGTATGGAGGCAACGACTCTTGCTAAGACAATAGAAAGTGGCTGCTAGATGCATTGCAGATCCAGTGTCTGAGGCAATGGCTATGTCCATAGCTATTAGAAGGCATGCCTGGCTTCGGCCATCTAATATCCTTGATGATACCAAGGCCAGAATTGAGGACCTTCCATTCGATGCTGTGGGATTATTCAATTCCAAAACTGATGACATGTTGGAAAATACTCATAAGCTTAGAAAAACAGTGAAGTCTTACAGTTCTCACAAGTGGGCTTTGGGCATTGTTGTTTTCCATCAGCTCTGCTTTCGGTGGGGCACTCAGCAGTTGGGTGTTTTCGCTTCTCACAACAAGAAGTGTACAAATTATTGCTCAAGGGCCAGGATGCCTTTATGATACAGTGGACTTCTCGTCTGCTTTATATGTTCCCTCCCATTCCTCTTCTCCAAAGGACCATTGTGACGATCTGGCAGGACAATGCAGATGCCATCCTCATAGCTCCCTGGTGGCCCCGCCAGCCATGGTTCTCGGCTCTCCTCAACAGGGTGTCAGACTACATCCAGTTAACATCAGTCCCCCACCTGCTGTGGGGACTTTCAAATGATGTCAAATCTTGCTGTCCCGGGATGGGGGAAGATCTTCCACCCAGACTTGGAATTTCTGCATCTAACGGCTTGGAGGCTTCCCTGATTGTAGCTCAGGTTCTCAGCCTCGCACACAAGTGCTCAACCTCCTTGACATACATACACCTACAAGTGGAGGGTATTTTGTGCGTTTACATCGGCCCTTCACTTACTTATCAATCCTACATCCTTGGACACAGTTCTTCAGTTTCTCCTTCACCTGCTGCAGCGGGGTCTCTCCCACTTGACCTTGAAAGTATATATGGCTGCCATAGTAGCACACCAGCCACCTTCTTCTCAGGTGGCTGCCCTCTTCTGTCACCCGTCCATAAAGCAGTTCTTGCGAGGGCTGAGAAATGTGCATCCAGCCTACAAGCCCCTCACACCATAGTGGTCACTTCAGCTTGTGCTCAACCGGCTCATGAAGCCTCCCTTTGAACCTTTGGCTTCTATGTTACTACACTCAGTTACCTTGAAAACTGCATTCCTCCTGGCAGTTACCTCAGCACGGAGAGCAAGGGAGATGGCTTCCTTGAAGGTGGACCCTCCATTCCTCCAGTTTCACCCAGACAAGGTAACCCTATACCCCGATCTTTCATTTCTGCCTAAGGTGTCATCTTATTTTCATTTGAATCAGTCAATTCTGCGGCCTACCTTTTTCCCCTGTACCCACCTCTTTACTGGAGAGAGCACTACACTCCTTAGATGTCAAACAAGCTCTATCTTATTACGTTCATCATATGGCCATCTTCGGAACTTCAAAGATACTCCTGGTGACCTTCCATGGCCCCTCTAGGGACACACCGGCCTCTTCTCAATCCATTTCCAGATGGCTTGTGCAGAGCATTCGCCTCGCCTACCAGTTAGCTAGGACTCCTCTTTGGGGCATGGTTAAGGCCCACTCAACAAGGGTGGTAGCTTCTTCAGCTACGTTTCTCCATGGAAAAATGCAAATATATGTCGGGATGCGACATGGGCCACACCATCCACCTTTGCCTCTCACTACCGCCTTGATCTCAGGGCTAAGCCTGAGGCTGTGGTGGGTCGTGCTATGCTAGCTTTTGCCATCGCATGACGTCCTTCCTCCAGGTATGTGAGCTTGCTAGTCACCCATTAGTGTGCATTCACAGAGACCACGAAGAAAAATATGTTACTTACCTGTAACTCTGGTCCTTCGAGTGGTCATCTGTGAATTCACACTTCCCGCCCTTCCTCCCCGCTGTAAGTCACGTGTGCCATTGCATGCTGTGCAGTGGTGGATCATTCTAAGGAGCTGAGGCACTCAGTGGTGGGGACGGAGTTATAGCCAGTGTGTGGGAGGTCCCGGCACCATGTGCTCAAGCTAGAAAGCTCTGTGCAGCCGCGGATTAACTCCTTAGTATGCATTCACAGATGACCACTAGACGAACCAGAGTTACAGGTAAGTAACCTCTTTTTTTTTCTTATTATGATGTAGATCAGGGCCCCAAGAAGAAGAGAATGATAAACCATTTCTGGGTACTCTATATCTAGAAAACCCTGAGAATGATTGCTGTAAGTCAGATTTAGAACAGAGCTGGTGACAGAAACATGATTTCTGTTCTTGACTGTAAGAGTAGTCTCAGATATCGTGAAGAATTAGTTTGAATGTATCTTTCTGGGAAAAAAAATCTTATCATGTACCAGTAGAGACAAAAACTGTCATACTCTGCAAAAGATTTTAAGGTTGAATCTATTTGCTCATGTACAGTTAAGAATAACAAGCCACCAAAAATACATTTTTGAATCTACAAGTCTTTTGACAGCTAAGAATGATAAGTACATAAGTACAAATATAAGTATATACTGTACATACAATGTTGTCACTGACAGAAATTTATCTTTTTATAAGTAAAACCTCTGTAAGAAATGTAAACCTAACTCAGTGTTGGAGGTTGTATTCTGAGATAGTTTTCATCTATCTCAGTATGAATTTTTAAAATACAAATTCCCCCTCCTCCTAGGGCTTGCCACATAGTGTTTCTGTGGTCTGTGTCTTTGCATACTTGCTTCATGATCTTCTAGAGCAGTGGTTCCTAACCCTGGGTAATCCAGGTATTCTTGGACTGTAACTCCCAAAATCCCTGGTTAGCAGAGGTGTTGGTGAAGGCTTCTGGGAACTGCAGTCCAAGAACAACTGAGTTGCCCATGGTTGGGAACAACTGTCCTAGAGTAAACAACATATATATTACTGATTCTTAGTAAGGTAATCAAAGAACTAAAATATGACATATGAATTATCTTATAAAATTATTGTAGCATAACCTCCCCTTTTTTGTGTGTGTTTGTGTTTTCTTAGTGAAGCTGTGGTCAACAAACCTGGACAATTCTGTAGCAAGCATTGAGGCCAAGGCAAACGTCTGTTGTGTGAAATTCAGCCCGTCATCTAGGTACCATCTGGCCTTTGGTTGTGCAGGTAAGTCACAGTTGTCACAGTTGCTACTTTATGTGCTGGACAAAATGAACAGGATGAAAAGTAGGCATTGTTGTTTTTTGCTTTATGACATATATTGATTAATCATTATGATTAGCCAGTTACAAAGAAGTATTTTCTCATAGTTGCTTTCACTTACAATATTCATTGATCAATTAATTCATTCAATTTTTATACTGGCCTATCTTGCGAATTGCTACCCTGGGCAGTGTGATACATTGCAGTTGGGAAAATGAAGCACATGTCACAGGGGAGACCTATTTTTCTGTAGTTAGCGCTGCAGCTGATCCTTGAACGGGGGGATAAATCTATCAAGTTTGGAGGAAACACCTCCCAGACAAGGAGGTGGACTAGCCAGTAATATGATCTTTGTCAGAATGTTCATCCTAGTCCAATCCAGTACTGCTTCCAGGCACATCTCTAGGCACTGGCTGGCATCCACTGCAGATGATTTAATGGAGATATAGAGGTGTGTATCATCTGCATACTGATGACATGAAGCTCCAAATTTCCTGATGCCCTCTCTCAATATGTTAAACAACATTGAGGAGATTATCAACCCCTGTGGAACCCCACAGTTGAGGATACACGGGGTTGGAATAGTCTTCCCTACCTGCACTCTCTGAAGTCAGCCATTAAGGAAGGACTACAGCCAACTTATCGCAAAATCACCAATCCATAGCCCCAATAGTCTATTGTGGAGGATACCATGGTCAACAGTATAAGAGGCGGCTGAGAGAAGATAACCAGCAGGGTCAGCAGGCCTCCTTGCAAAGATCATCTTGCTTTGTGAAAAGTGCCGTCTCTGTGCCATGCTGGGGCTTGAACCCAGGCTGAAATGGATCTATGGAGTCAGTGTTCTCCAGGAATGCCTGCAAGTGATCTGCCACTTACCCTCTTGATCAGCTTACCAGTAAATGGAATATTTCTGATGGAACTGAAATTGTTCAGATTGTCTGTCGGTAGATTAACCTTTTTTCAAACTGGACCTAATCATTGTTTCTTTTAAGCAGGAGGGTAAAACCCCTTCCTGCAACAAAATATTGGTGATATGAAAGACACATTCCATAGTAGTTTCCTTGGCTGCTTTCAATATCTAAGATGTGCAAGAATCAAGAGAGAAGGTGGTGGGCCTACAATGAGGAATCCCTGTCAACCTCGTCAGATGTTACTGGCTGAAACCAATCCAATAAAACAGGAGAAGGGGATGCCCTGGATGGCTCAACTTGACCTACTGAACAATTAAATCCAGAAAACAAACATCTAGCTCCACTACTTGGAATTACATTATGGAGGTGACTTAATGAGGGATGACATCACTACTTCTACAGCATCAACTAAAGCTTTTAAACTGCTTTTCTTCTTTGACTTCACTAATCAGAAAGCTGTAGAATCAAAGAATAATTAAGTTTGAAGGGGCCTATAAGGCCATTGACTCTAACCCACTGCTCAATGCAAGAATACAAATCAAAGCAGATATGACAGATGGTTGTCTAATTTTTTCATTTCCCATTGCCATACTAGTCTTACAGTTAGGAGGTTTATCCTGATAATCAGCCTAAATCTGGCTTCTTCTAGTTTGAGCCCATTATTACCAAGCAAGCAAAATAAGTTTATTGTGTGGCACACAGGCAACATATATTGGATAAAACAATATAAAACAATATAAACAATATAAATAATATAATATACATTAAACTATAGAACAATAAAATATTAAAAGCCACTTAGAATCGGGTTGATTTTTATTACAGCACAAAATTTTGACATCTAAGGAGAGGGCAAAGACAGATGGAAAAAATTAACTAATGCCAGCAGCAAGCATTTATCGTGGGGGGAATAACCCCAAAGATGTACTTACTTAAGTATTGACTTAATTGGTAGGGGGGGGGATACAGATTTCATTTTTATCAATGAAGAGATAAACCGTGCCATTCGGAAAGTGACATGTTTCTCTCTGTCAGAAAGTAGAATCTTGAGTTTTTCTTGTTCAGAATTACTAGAATGTTTTTGTAAACAGCGTTCCGTGTCTAAATCACACTGGCCATGTGACCACGGAAAGATTGTCTTCGGACAAACGCTGGCTCTATGGCTTGAAGAGCGGGATGAGCGCCGCCCCCTAGAGTCGGACACGACTGGACAAAAATTGTCAAGGGGAACCTTTACCTTTACCTTTACTATGTGAATATTGAATATTGCTGAACAGGATGTCCTGTGAGATGTGGTTGGCAAATAGGGTGACTGAACAGTTATCCCTGCCTTATGTTTGGAGTCACATTTCAACGCTTCCTCCTGCCATTTATGTTAATGGAATGAAGATGTCTCTACAGGAGATGTTAATGCTTTTTAATAAAAATGTAGAGATCTTTGGAAGAGAACAGATCCTGAACAGGTTCTGGGTTTAAGTGCAGCTATAGGCTGTCCATGGTCTGAATAGGGAAGCCACCCAGCATGTATTTAAAGGTTCCATCCCAAGTCCCTGGATGCTTGATCTATCTTCCATGGGTGGGCATAATGTGATTCTCAATGTGGTGTAGTAAATAGAGTGATGGGCGAGGAGGGCTCTGGAGATCAGATTTGAACCCCCAGTCAGCCATGGAATTTGAAAATTCATCTCATATGATGCTATTAAAAATTCTGACTGAGTGATGACCAGAATTTTCAGCCAGTACAGTGGTGCCTCGACTTATGACCATAATCCATTCCAGAAGATCAAAATGGTTGTAAGTCAAATCAGCATTTCCCATTGAAATGCATAGAAACCTGTTTAATCCCTTCTGGCTGTTTTTTGGTTGTATGTAGAGGTGCAAGATGATGCTGTTAAGGTGCTACATTCAATATGCCAGCAAGTTTGGAAAACTCAACAGTGGCCAGATGATTGGAAAAGATCAGTCTACATCCCAATCCCAAAGAAGGGCAGTGCCAAAGAATGCTCCAACTACCACACAATTGCACTCATTTCACATGCTAGCAAGGTTATGCTAAAAATCCTACAAGGTAGGCTTCAGCAGTATGTGGACCGAGAACTCCCAGAAGTACAAGCTGGCAAATAGAAGGGGAAGATATGGAGGCAGTGACAAATTTTACTTTCTTGGGCTTCATGATCACTGCAGATGGTGACAGCAGCCACAAAATTAAAAGAAGCCTGCTTCTTGGGAGGAAAGGGATGACAAACCTAGACAGCATCTTAAAAAGCAGAGACATCACCTTGCCGACAAAAGTCCGAATAGTCAAAGCTATGGTTTTTCCTGTAGTGATGTATGGAAGCGAGAGCTGGACCATAAAGAAAGCTGACCGCTGAAGAATTGATTCTTTTGAATTGTGGTGCTGGAGGAGGCTCTTGAGGGTCCCCTGGACTGCAAGGAGAACAAACCTATCCAGTCTAAAGGAAATCAGCCCTGAGTGCTAACTGGAAGGACAGATCCTGAAGCGGAGGCTCCAATCATTTGGCCATCTCATGAGAAGAGAAGACTCCCTGGAAAAGACACTGATGTTAGGAAAGTGTGAAGGCAGGAGGAGAAAGGTTGGACAGAATGAGATGGTTGGACAGTGTCATCGAAGCGACCAACATGAATTTGACCCAACTCCGGGAGGAAGTGGAAGACAGGAGGGCCTGGTGTGCTCTAGTCCACGGGGTCATGAAGAGTCGGAAACGACTAAACAATAGAGGCGCCAGTTACAAGTTGAAGCATTCGTTCCCGTAAGAACGAATGCAAAGGCAGTTAATTTGTCTTCTACCACTAGGGGGAGAATTTTTCTTCTTTTAATCTAAGATGACTTAAAGCAGAAAAAGGCTGAAAAAAGGCAGGAAGGGGGGAGGGAGGGAAGGAAGGAATAATGGGGAAAAGAGGAAAGAAAGAAGATCATCACTGGGGCACAGAGACCCCTCAGACAAAGGTTTGTGCTGCTGAGCACAAAAAGAGAGAAGATAGAGAGAAAGAAGATTGGGGGGGGGAGAGTTTGGAGTCTAAAACACCTTTTAAACAAAACACCATTTAAATCAAACACTTTTTAAACCAAGCACATTTTAAACCAAATCAAGCACCTTTTAAACAAAACACATTTTACAGCAAACAAAGCACCTTTTAAACAAAAGACATTTTAAACCAAGCACCTTTTAAAGCAAACCAAGCACCTTTTAAACAAAAAAACATATTTTAAACCAAACCAAACCAAACACCTTTTCAACAAAACACATTTAAAACCAAACCAAGCAACTTTTAAATGAAACACCTTTTAAACCAAGCACCACCAAACCAAGCACCTTTTAAACTAAGCACATTTTATACCAAACCAAACACCTTTTAAACAAAACACATTTTAAAACCAAACACAATTTAAAACCAAATACATTTTAAACCCACCCACCAACACCTTGTTACAGCAAACAGACTCCCCTCAGCACAAAAAGAGAACACAGAAAGAGAGGGGGGGAAGACAATGGGGGGAGAGACTTGAGTGTAAACCCCATTTTACTCCATGATTTTAAAACAAAAAGATTTGGGAGTCTAAACTCCATTTTGCACCATGCCAGCCACCACAGCAACCCCTCGCAGAAAATGTTTTGATTTTAAAACAAAAAAAATTTGGAGTCACATTTTAAACCCACACATTTTAAAACAACAGAGAGGTCACAGTACACAAACCCTAGAAGCCATAGAATGCAAAAATAAATAAATAAATTCTACATTTAAAAATTTGAGTCTAATTTTCACATTTATTTTTAATTTAATATTACAGTCTACTTTTCACATTTTAAATCCATACTGCAAGACCCATCCAAGCACAGAAACGTAACTCCCCCAGCAAAAAGCCATGCTGCAAAAACACCCAGAACAGTTTTTAAAAAGCAGAAAACAGCACCTTACCTCCCTGCAAACACACACACACTCACTCCAAAGCAGAAGGAGGCAGTTCCGAAGCCTAAGACAATGACACATACTCTCTAATTGCTGGGGTGAAAGAGCTACAGTGGGGTCTCG